CGAGGTTTGCTGGATGTGGCGGCGTTGGCAGCTGCCGAAGTAACAAACCCCACGCCCTCAGCGTCCTGAGGCCCCAGAGCATCGTACTCGCTATGAGAATGAAGTCGGGGTTCAGAGTATTTGGTGTGAATTTATTTCCACCTGGACGAGCTTTTTCCCCACGTCATACAGTGGGGTTTCTGCTGTGGAGGGTTTGTTCTTTGTCCAGGAACGGCTGGAGCCTTAAGCTGTCGGTTGTCATCAGGCTGGGGCCGTAGTCTGCCGTGTGCGTGGGGGCCTGCCAGGAGCACAGCGTTTGTGCAGAGCGGGACTCGGGCGAGCCTGGGCCCTGGGGCTGCTCATGTGACTTCTCAGGTCGTCATAAAAAAATTGGTAAAATTGACTTTGCGGAAGTCTGGGTGAATTAAGACACTACGGTAGATTTGAAAAGCCTTAAAAGAATGACTGTGCAGCCCAGATCTCAGAAGAGGTATCTCTCCGCAAACGTCAGAGCCTCTGAAGAGTAGAAAACAGATTTGTCGCCAGGCTGCATCTGTCATGAATTCTCCACAGCGTGACGAGCGCAGTCATTGTGCGTTTCCATGTTTAACAATAGGTTTGTTTTCCTCTTCAGGAAGGGGACCCCCTTCTTGCTGCTCTTGTTTTAATTAGCAAAATTAGTTTGTGACAGCAGGCAGATACAAAACGTTTTCTGAAATGCATGGATTTCAGACCAGCGTAAGTACAAGGGCAGAATAAGTGTGGATATAAATGGAAAAGAGCATACTAAAACCCGCTGTTAAAGCTGAAAAATTAAATTCTGGTAACTGCAGAATGCCCAGTTGTCCTTTTCCCATTTACTAGGCAGAGTAGTTTAATGTATCCTGACCTAAGAAACCTTCCGACTTACATTATTAAAGACCAAAATTTGGCTGAGATGGGCTAAGATTTCAGATACCAAGAAATGTCTCAAGTCTTCACTGACTTCACCTGCCCGCTGCCAGACCTCAAGCCTTGTTAAATCGCGCGGCAGAGTTTCAGGCTGCTGCCAGCATGCTGTCTAGACAAACGTGTGCCAGGAAGTGTGATGTGACCGTCTCGTTCATCAGGTGGACTCTCACTACTGCCCCAGCTGCCTGGAAAACATGCCTTCAGCCGAAGCCAAGCTGAAAAAGAACAGGTAAGGTCGTTTTGGCTTTTTTCATCAAGACTCACCATTTTAAAGGGCTCCTTCCTTAATCAACACCTGATCACATGTATCTGAAACTCTCTTCAAAAATTACATCGCTTCTTGTTACCTTTTAGTCTGTTTTGGGGAATAAGTGTCTTTCCATGATGTATCATGTGCTCTTCATGTTCTCGTTTTTTAGTTTTAGTTTAGTTTTTCTCTCATAGCACAAAGGGGTTTTTAGTATCGCCCAGTGTTTCTCACTGTCGCCATTCTTATGTTGACTCTGAACCCCTCCTGTTTCTGTTGATGGCTCTGTTGCCCTTTTTCCCTAACGTTTTTGCATAAGATGAAAAGGTCTGTTGGTTTAAGCTTGGTTTGCTTCTTGAGAGCATTTTCCTTGGCCTGGGATCCTTGTCAGAGCAACTGTCTTACAGGCCTTCCTCTCTGCAGGTGTGCCAACTGCTTTGACT